GTAAAGAAAAATAGGTTTTTAAAGATTTAAAAATGAAAGAAAGCAGTAACTGCAAAATTATTGACATATAGCCTCAGCAGACTTAATTTTACTTTCATTCTCAACTGCAGCACATGTTTTGCCTCAGGCTGGTTGTGTGGCACTTGACTCCTATGCATTTGCATAAGATATAGCTTAGTTTGCTAATCTGAAGCAAATCAGCAGCCTTTGTCTGTTAAGTGTGTCAGGCCTAGAAATCCTAGATGGACCTGGGAGGAGCTATAGAGATCATCAGCCACAGAGGAGGAAACTGAGGCCTAGGTTACATGCCTTGGCTGGGGTCACAGAATCAGTATCAGAACCCTACCCCCTTATCCCATTACTAAACTAATGTAAAACCCCATTCTCATCTAAAAACTCACCTTTTCTACCAAAAAATGGAACCCTCCAATTGTGAAATTGACATCTCAAGAAAGATAAATTTCTTAACATGTTTTCGGACAAACTTAATGGAGATAACCTGACAGCATCTACCTGTTGTGGAATATATCCCTTGGGGTTACTTCAGGTGAATGAGGGACAGTGTGTGGCAGTGGTATAAATGCCAGTCTGTAATTGTTCAGAGCATTTCCAAGAGTACACTGACCTGGAATAACCCTGGCAAATAGAACAGTGTGGTATGGTGTCGACTTGTGACCCTTCCCAAGGGATTGAGCTGTGTCCGGAGAGGCCACAGTGCTGGAATACAAGGTTTCTAGGCCATGTTTTCAGGCCATAGACAGGGGGACTGGTGGCTTCCACCTGTAAATGGCCATCAGTATTTCATGATTTCTGGTTCTTGAGATTTTTTTTAAAGTTCCTTAATGGTAGATGGGGAAATAAAGCTGCTCTTTCATTTTCTAAGGGAGGTCAGGCAACATTTTTTTTTTTTTTTTTGGTTACGGGGATTGATCTCACGTCCTTGTGCTTGCACAGCAGGCGGCAAAACCACTGAGCGAAATCCCTAGTCCTGACAACATTATTAAGCACTGATCGTTGTGGTAGGCCCTGGGGATTTATGCTATTTAATAAACATCTGTAAGGACTTAGTCTGTGGAGCTGATAGTTCTAAAGAAAGAGCGCAAGTGCCCTCCAAAAATCTTGATTCTTTTGGTATGTTGGATTAGTGACATGCATAAGAGTTTTGTCAGAGGCTAGAGTATGTCTTAGCAGATCCTGTGCTTAGTGTAGGTGAGGCCCTAGGTTCAGTACCCCAGCACCAAAACAAAGTTTCATCAGAGCAAACTGACTTTAACCTACTTGTAAGTTTGTATCCTGATTGAAAAAGTGTCTTCTCAATGTGACATAGTACATCCTTGGAATGACCTTCAGAACTACTGTCCAGTTCCCATCTACTAGACTCTTCCCCACTTTTTCCAGTACAGTCCTTTCTTAGAGGTCAGACTGAGCATTTGCCTCCAAATATGTGACACTTCCTGATGTTGAGTTTTTGCCCCTTCACCCTCCTTTAGAATGTTCCAGATCTTGTCCAGCCTTCAGAGCCCAACTCAATTTCCATCCTCTCTGCAAAGCCTTTGCTAGTCTTCTCCACAGAGTGCTGGTAACAGTTTTGCCTGTCCGGTGCTATGGATGATGCACATGCAGGGTGGCCTAGTGTGGAGAGAATGGACTCTGGGCCTGTTGCCTGGGAGATCTTGGGCTGTAAGATTTTCCCAGCCTGGATTTCTTCATCTGGAAAAATGAGAATAATAATTGCAATTTTGCTCATAGTTATACAGATTAAAGTGAGCTCATACCATTAAAACATGTAGAGTAGTGCCTGGCACCATTCTCATTAAATAGTAGTTATTTCTTGTAACACATATTAAATTATAGCCTTCCTTGTGTCATCATTGAATCATTTTAATTATCTATTTTGGAGGCCTCAATGAAATTGTTAAATCCTCCCATGAAAACTGGCACTTGAGTTTGCATTTTTTATTGATCCTTTACCTTTAGGCATATAGGTCCCCGATACATACCTTATAATGAAACTATTATTGTAGTAAAGAAAATAGATTGGACTTGGGATGTAGCTCAGTGGTTTATCACTTGCTGGTGTGCGTGAGGTCCTGGGTTCAATCTGAAGAAGAAGGAGAAGGAGAAAGAGAAGAACGAAGAAGAGGAGGAGGGGGAGGGAGGGGGGAGAGGGAAGGAGGAAATAAGGAATTAAAAAGATAGGCTTTAGTTCGCAGATTGTCTTAGTTACATTTCTCATTACTGAGACAAAATACCCAATGCCCAAAATTAAGGGAGGAAAGGTTTATTTGGCTTACAGTTAATAGAGGTTTAGTCCATAGTCAGCTGGCTCCAAGGCAGGGTGGCATAGCAGATAGACATCAAAGAGGAGAAACAGGGGCCAGGGATTTAGCTCAGTGGTTCCACTGACTGCCCTGCAAATGAAAGGACTCAAGTTTTATCCCTGGTACAAAAAAAAAAAAAAAAAAGAGGAGAAACAGTTCATGGCAGACAGAAGGTAGCAAAGCAAGCAAGGGATGACCACAGCTCTTTCTGTCTCATATATATCTTATCCAGACTATTTAGGTTGGGTAGCACTTACACTCTTAATCCAAGTACCCTTGATCTTAGCATTGCACCATGAATCAATCCCAGCATCACACACTCTAGATCCAGCCACCTCTGAAAAAGCCCCACCTGTGACTGCATGAGGCTTTGGGGGGACATCTAGACACAAGCCATAACACAGATGGAGTCTTCTTACAATTCTTAGAGCATGTAATTCATTCCATTTTTCATTATTGTTAAGTCTAATGAGCCCTTCTGCCATAATCACCAAAAGTGTAACCATTATTTAGCAAGGAGGCTTGCAATTTCAAACACTATTTTCTTTTTTTTTTTTTAAGAATAGGAAGAATTTATTGGGAGGAAGAAAGCTTCTGTTTAAGAAAGACAGAAGGGGGACTGGAAAGTGGGTTGCCCACCCACCCCACGTTTCAAAGATGTTTTATACAGCAAAGCCATGTGGTGAGGCAGGTACAAAGTGGGCCAAAACTATAAGACCCAATGGAAATTTACAAGGTGGGCATGAGGTGGGACAAAACCATGACCAACCAATAAGATTACAAGTACAGTCACCCAGGTAATATTGATTAAATGGGGGTCAAATGGGGGAGCAAGTCACATAGCAAGCATACAAGGATTTTCAGTAAGGGTGGTGGGTCAGGGATATTTCCTGGAGAGGGTGGGTTAAGACTTCAACCCCCCCATCCAGGTGATTGATACCTATTTAGAATATCAATCACTGCTATTTATTCCCCAGGGGAAGTACAAGGGTGTGTAGTTTCTCTCCTTTTACAGTTCTGCCCTTCAGTGAACGTGTCTCGATTGTCCTCCATGTTGGCTCCTCCTGGCCTGGCCCTGTCTAACTGCCTACAAGATATCTAATTAAGTTACCTATCTGCAGTATTCCCCCCTCTGAAGAAGTACCCCTAACTGCTGTGAGGGGGCAAAGGGTGAAGACCTTTCTGGCTACTTCCAGCTAAAGAGGGTTAGAGTTACTCTGCAGAGAGTCTATCTAAAGGCCGTTGATAGGTGCCAGACATTGTTATCTTCATAGCCGTATAGCCGTATAGCTTCTGGAGGAGACAAAGCCAAAGAAATAGTTAATACATGGACCAAATTATAAGGTCAGCAGGACTGCTATGAATATAGCCAACAAGGGTCTCCACCAGGAGGAACTAGTAATAGCCTCCCACATAGAGGATAAGGAGAAGGTGCAGGGGACTTTAGAATCCAGCATAGAAGACCTATTGTATAGTTTAGCAGTTATGAGCTATTTACAGAGTCAATCTGGTGAATCCCAGTAAAAGAAGTCTAGCACATTTGTCATTGGTTCCATTTGTATGACTGCTTGGAGTTTGGCAGCCTCTAGGCAAGAATAAACAAAATTTAAGAAATTAGAGCATAATCTAAGCATGAACACACTAGAATGAAAGGGCAGGTTGGGGAGAAATTCACACTTAGAAATTGAAATAGTGATTATAACCTGCTGACTCTTAGATTCTTTTATTGATAAGAGAGATATAAGTCTGATACTTTGTCATAAGTCTCTAGTTTCAGCTGTAAGAAGATAAGAGACAGTTTGAAGAACAAATTTCACTAAGAAATATAAAACTCTAGCTGAGCTCTTATAGATTTTACCATAGTTTTTTTACTGGTAGAGCTTGTAACTGCCAGAAGGGGTCAGTGACTGGAACCCCTTTTTATGTCTACCTTTATTACTATGGCATTATTTTATACCTCTTGTGGTTATTCTTTTCTGCGGGGTGTTTAAGACCAAGTTAAAGTGAGACCTGTGTCAATCAGCCTGAACCTCCTGCTATCTATCAAGGTCAATTAAGTCTTCTCAGGCCATTACTTTGGAACCATGCATAGAGGCTCTCAGCTCCTCTATCAGTGTCAGCCGTTAGGATGGGTCATGGCCTTGCTTGACCATGTTGCTTTCAGTGAAAGCATGGGAGATTTTTCCTTCTTGCTGATCCCCCTTTGGCACACGGTACATTTACAAACACTCTTTTCTTCTAGGCCCATGATAGAAAGGAATCTCAGACAGTAGAGTCTGATCTACCAGAGTATCTCGAAATAGTAAGTGGTGGGTCATAAGCTAGTTGTTTTAACATATTTCCCTTCCTGGGAGGCATGGAAAAGTCACCACTGGGGAGAAGACCTTAGTTAGCAGCCATCTCTCTGCCTTCCCTTCCTCCTTTTTTTGCAGCTCAGATATTCACAAGCATTTCCTTCACTTGTCAGTGTCACAGACATTTGTGGGAAATCAAAAGTTAACCCTAGTGGGAAGAGGTGGGAACTCAGATGAAATCAGAATAAAACTAAGGAATTTGCAGACAAGAGTCCAATGGGGCCTCTACTATCCACCCAGCAATGTGGGACCTCAGCCAGGTTCCTCACTGAGCCCTGGGGGAGCCCTCTCTGATACGAAAATGCTCCATTTCTTCTTCTCCTAGGCTGGAACAAGACATTAAAAAGTTAAAGGCTGACCTGCAAGCCAGCAGGCAAGTGGAACAGGAGCTCCGCAGTCAGATAAGCTCCCTCTCAAGCACTGAACGAGGGATCCGCTCAGAAATGGGCCAGCTCCGGCAGGAGAATGAGCTGCTGCAGAACAAGTGCGTGCACCTTGCGAACCTCATAGCCTCACTATTTCTCATGTTTCCAGGGATTGGAGCACAAGATACATGGTGCAAAGGGACTTTACTTAGCAGAGAAGTTTTTAAATAAAATATTTAAAACAATGTAGTACCAGATTTTTAAATCTAACAAAATTTACTTCATTGCAACCGTTTATTAGTATTACTGTTTTTTCTCATCTCATTTAATAGTTATTGAGCTTCTATGGTAAGTAAAATTGTTAAGAAGCAGTTTTGCTGCAATTTGAAAATCTTGTTCCTTTGTGTGACAGTTTACAGATGATCAAGCTATATTTACTTTGATTGTGGAGCTAAAATATGACATTGCACTTTGAAGAACAAGGCAGTAAGCCAGCTCTTCTGGGTCAATTCTTTTAAGCTTTTCATTAATTCATACTAGAATACTGTTGACCCAATGTGGCGCTGTTTGGTGTTTTTTTTTTTTTTAATCCCAGCAATGTGTGTTGGTTGTAGTGATCATTGTTATAGGCTCCAGACTTTCTCCGTTAAAGGAGCAGTTCTACATTTGTAACCAGTGTAACCCCAAAGCTACAGTATTACAGGCAAAAAAGCCTCTCCATTGCTTCTGAACAACATTGTTCTAGCAGTGATGAATACTGTAAAGAACATTTTAATGATAAGCTCACCTCGCATTGATATGTAAAGCTGTGAGTGACTCTAAGAGATTGATTGGGGATGCTGAGAAACCATCTCATAACTGGAAAGGAAAGGCTGTAGCATGATTGTATTCAGGAAAACAAAGACCCCCTCCTTCTGCCCCTGTTTCATTTTTGGTGGAACTGATCTCATCGGTGGTTCTTTGACCTCACTGAAGTTCTTTCAAGGTGCTCTGAGACACTGGAGCTAGTCCTGTAATTATCTTGCCCTCTGTTAGAACTGCTTATATCCTATATTCTGGACTGCCTATTATAGATCACTTACCTTAAGAGGAGAGGATAGAGCAGAGGGTACGTCTGAATCTGGGTCTTACTGGTTTTTAGAAATTATTAAATAATACATTATTTTCTCTGAGCACACTGGGAGTTGATATTTATGATTTGCTGCTCAAACTTCCTGTTTACTTGACTTTAAAATGGTTTTTTTAAAAAACATGTTTTTCAAGGGTTTTGTAGTATTTCTAATTGTAAGGCTTTGCATGACAACTCTTTCCATATAGGTTACATAATGCTGTTCAAATGAAACAAAAAGACAAGCAGAATATCAGCCAGCTGGAGAAAAAGCTAAAAGCTGAGCAAGAAGCCCGAAGTTTTGTAGAAAAGCAGTTAATGGAGGAGAAAAAAAGGAAGAAGTTAGAAGAAGCCACTGCTGCCCGAGCTGTTGCATTTGCTGCTGCATCTAGGTATGTCCATGTCATCTTGAGTGTTTACTCAGGATTGGCATTCCTTGTCCCAAGACAGACATGGGAATTTGATGCGTTGGGTAGGATTGGACAGACAACCATCATGTGTGGATGGATTGCTTTAAGTAATGTTTTCTTAGCTGGTTTCAACTCCATATATACCAGCTTGTCTTATAATGATTTTATCCCTCAAAGAAAGTGAGGTGAGGGAGTCACCATACTAAGCGTTGCTTAGAGAAGGTTTCAGTCATTTTCAATAAGATTGATGATCACTAAATGCTATAAGAGATCCCATCTGGAATTTTGTTCTCTTTATAGGGCTGTCATTGTTCTTCACTCTTAAGTGTAGGTGTTTCTGAGTTTTTAATCTTAAAAGGAAAGAAAGGTAACACTTTGGTTACCCAAGTACAGTATTATGTACTGACTAGTTCAAGACTTTTCTGGATATCAGCATACTGTCAAGTGAGATGAAAAAAGGTGAAAAATTAATCTCTAATAGATGCAGTTAAACTTGTGGAATGATGAAAATTGTGGACTATATCTTATATCATTAAAAAGTACACCTAGATTAGGTATTCCAAAAACTGATCTGTAACTGCCACCTGAATTCCAGTAAGGAGAGAAAATAGTGAAGAGCTTTATTTTTTATTTTCTTCACCATCTCCCTCCTCCTCCTCTTCCTCCTCCCTCTCTTCCTCCTCTTCCCTCTCTTCCTCTTCCTCTCCTCTCCTCTTCTTCCTCCTCCTCCTCCTCTTCCTCTTCCTCCTTTTTCTTTTTCTTTTTTTTTTTTGGTACCAGGGATCTAACTCGGGTCCTTGCACTTTCCTAAAACTTTTTCTTCTTCGACTAGTGAAGTCTGTCTGCATGGTTGGGGTCAGTTATGGGTTTGCAGATGCAAAGTGAAGCTAGATTATCTCATGTTAATTTTTTTCCTAATTTGTATCTGTGTGGTGGAACTCAACTGTAGCTTTTCCTAGAGTTTTGCTTTATTGTATTAAACAGATAATTTAGTTGCCAACCTTTGGCATGTTCATAGACTTCTTTGGGGTTCTGGCATTTGCAGAATAACTGGTGAATCATCATTTCACCTTTTAGGAATTAACAACACGTAGTGAGAACTCTTTCTGTGGTGTGATCATGCCTCCTCCTACCCCTCAGACTCTAGACTACAGGTGGCTCAGCCTTGTGGCCTATCTGCATCTAGACAGACTCACAGGAACTTGGGTCACCAGATAGGATCTGAGGAGGTCCTCCAAAGAGAGATGGGGACCTCAGCTCCCCCGACCCATGGGTAGGTTATAAGTTTGCTGTCTTACATCACAGAAAAGAATTGCAGGATACATCAGTGAGAGGCATTAGAAAGGTTTTTGAGGCAGAATTTAAGAGTACACATTCAGAAGACAGTGCAGATTCTCAAGAAAGACATGCATTATAGTCTGGAGTTTGGGGTTAAGTGAGCTTGATCTTGGGGTTGTCCTCAGGATGGTGGGCTAGGTTAGAATGTAACCCATTTGCATTGCTTCCTTGAAGATGGAGGTCTGTGGGAGGAAGCATACTTTGCAGGCAAAAAGCAGTGGGCCTAGAAACCAATTTATAGGATTATGGTATCTTTAAAGCCTTACGAATTTTTTTAGAGTGAGTTTGCTAGAAAGGAAAAAGGATTTGTAACCTGAGTAACTTTTGTGTCCTGAAGCTATAGTTTTTCTTAAAAGTACAGTTTTTAAATTGTGATTCCCTTATCCCCTTCCTACCTATTTTTATTTCTTCTATTATAGTTTTTCCCAAACAGTCATCCAATGTGGCCTGTGCTCTCTGGAATTCATTCCTTGTTAATTCCTTAACTCTTTGTTAAAACTTTCCACCAAGTAGGATATAGCAGTTCCTTGACCAAATGGTTTAGTGTCTTTCATGCCTGAGATTCAGCCACTCAGTTTCTTATCGCTCCTGAATCCCTCTTGCTTCCAGTTAAGCTTATTTGTTTTGGTCTTATCCTTGAATAGTCCTTGTTTGTTGTTACTTATGTGGAACTGTCTCTGCTTATAAGCCATCTCTCCCTTGGATCCTTGGTAGGCAGAGGGCACTTACTTTCTTCATCAAATTGTTTCTGGAACCTCAACACTGAACAATTCAGCAGCTCTGGGCTGGCCACAACTCCCTGTCCTTTAGCTCATCCTTATCTTAGCCCTGAGAAGCAGCCTAATGCTGCTCCCTTCTTTTGTTTACTCCAAGCTCACAGAAGCTTTGTGACTAAAAAGATGACATTCCTAATACATAACCCCTCAAAAGTAGGAAAACAAAGGATTTTTAAGTTTATTGCCCTCTGGTGGAGATGGTACATGTTAGTTCTACCTTGCTCTGCTCTGTGCATTCTCAGGTCACCATGGGCCTGGTGGGAAGCTTACCAGATTGGGAAGTGAGAAAACTGCAGTTCTTATCCCAGTTCTGTGACCTATAAGCTAGGAGGTCTTGAACTCCTGTTAATCTAGGTAGCCTGTTTTCTTATCTGGAAAATAGAGGGCAGTTAAAAGGATTGAAGATAGTGTGGATAAAGAACCTACTTTAGGGCTTGCCACATGTAGACACACAATAATAATTATTTTAGGTCATTGTTCAAATTATCAAATAAGCCAAAAGCCAATCCTTTACAGACCCTGGAGTATAAGGAAATATCGATTTTGCACTGTAAGTGCAGTCATCTCTTCATATCTGTTGGATTCTACACCTACAGATTCAACCAAATGCAGATAGAAACTATTTGAAAAATCATGCTTGTACTGAGCATGTACAGACTTTCTTCTTGTCTTTTACTCTAAACAATACAGTATAACAACTATTTAGATTGTATTAGGTTTTTAAGCAATCTTGTGATGGCTTTAAACATATAGGAAGATGTATCTAGTAGGTTATATGTAAATATTACACTATTTTGAACATCTGTGGATTTTGGTGTCGGCAGGGGCTCCTGGAACCAGTTCCCTTTGGATACAAAGGGAAAACTATAAACCTATAGTCTTTTAAATTTCTTTCTTTTCTTTTTCAAAAGGGGAGAGTGCACCGAAACCTTACGGAATCGAATCAGAGAACTAGAAGCAGAGGGCAAGAAGCTCACAATGGACATGAAGGTGAAGGAAGACCAGATCAGAGAGCTAGAGCTGAAAGTTCAGGTAATAGTGAAACATTAGATTCTTTCATCCTTGAATTTCTTTTAGCCTAGATTTGTGCTTTGTGCTACCATGTAGAGATATAGCGCCTTTTGATATAGAATAAATCCCATTGCATCAAAAAATCTGTATATGACAACAAGATTTGAGGCTCTAATCTTGTCCAGCTCATTTCAAATCCAATTTACTATAGCCAGATTCTGATACAAGTCAGAAATGTTGACAGTCTCTTGACATGTTTTACATCAGGATTTGGCTCACTGTAGATTTATATAACTTTTTCAGGTTTTGGGCCAGATTAGTGTCCTTTGAAACTCACACATCTCTCCTTAGCCCTAACACTTAGTCTAATGCCAAGAACTGACTCCTCTGGTTGGCTCTTGGGCCCTGCAGACTGTAGTTCTGAGCTGTCTATGATGAGGAAATGTGCCAGGGATATGGACATAGCCAACTTTTTAGCCTTTGTACTTTAGCCACAGATTTGGCATCAGCTCTTCAAAGTGACATTTGAAATTAATGTCATACAAGGCCAGAGATCTAGCTCAGTGGTGCTGCCGCCTGCCTTGCAAGCATAAAGTCCCTAGTTCGATCCCTGATACAAAAAAAAAAATTAATGTCATATGGGGCTGGGGATTTAGCTCAGTGACACCATGCCTGCCTCACAAGTGCAAGGTCCTGAGTTCAATCCCCGGTACCGGAAGAAAAAAAGAAAAAAATGAATGTTATGTATTATAAAGTTACAGTAATTTGAATTGTGTGGTTCTGTTTAAAAAATTTCTGGCAAGTTAGTGGAGTAGAATGTGTGACATGGAGACATAGCCTAAAGTGTGTATTAAAGCTATCCTCAGACAGGAAAGGTGAGAATGAGTCAGGAAAAGGCTCTGGAATAGTGGCTAACTGGGAAAAAATAAAACCAGAAGCTTATCAGCTAACACACAAAAAGAAATTCCAGATAAAGGATTCAATACAGAAAAAAAAAGAAATGGTTTGGTTTTTTTTTGGTACTGGGGATCAAACTTGGGTCCTTGCACTTGTGAGGCAGGCAGCAGAACCACTGAGCTAAATCCCTGGCCAAGAAATAGTTTTTTTAAAAGCCAGATGAAAACATAAAATTTATTTGATCTTGAAACAGAAGCATGTTTCTGAATATGAAAAACAATGGAAGCCATCACAAGGTGAAACAAAAAATCAGCTGGGGAAGATGCAGATACTTTAACAAATACAATTACTACTCACAGCATATAAATCGCTAATAAAATTAGTAGGAAAAGCTCATATATACAGAGAAATGGACAGTGGACACAAACAGGTAATTTACAGAATAAATACAAGTGACTGATAAGAATATAGTGTATATCTTCATTAATCATCAAAGACATGCAGATTAAATTTAGAAATCATTTTCACCTGCAAAATTAGGAAAGAATTTTTAAATGATAATATCAGTTTTGGTGAAGATGCTACATAATAGGCCTCATGCATTGTTGATGGAAGTAGAACATTCTAGAAAATATGTACTTTTGGGGCCAGGGATTTAGCTCAGTGGTTCTGCCGCCTGCCTTGGAAGCACACGGACCCGAGTTCGATCCCCAGTACCAAAATAAAAGGAAAATATGTATTTTTTAAGATTTCACTTTTTATGAATCTAACACTAAGGTAAATAAAGATCTCATCGTTTCTTGGCCTTTTGGCTAAGATCAAGTGATATAAAGATCTCACCAATGATATACAGAGATGTTCAATGTAGTAGTATATAGTATAAATGTAAAAACAATGGAAGCAATCTTACCTATGGGAGATTTTTATTTAAATTATACTATATATACATGCAGGAATATCATATGGCAATTAAATTTTTTATTTCCAGCCCAATGTGCTGGCACATACTTGTAACCCACCATTCTGGGAGGCTGAGGCAGGAGGATCACAAGTTCAGCCTGGGCAACTTAGTAATTTAGTGAGACCTTGTCTTAAAATTTTTCTTTAAAAAGGTCCAAATGGGTAGGGGTAGTGGGAGGGGCAGGGGAAAGGAAGGAAGGGAAAGGACAAATGATGAGAAATGGAAATAAAGTCTTTGTAAATAGGGAAGGGTGGAGGGCATGAAGGGAGGGCTAGGAATGGGAAAAAAATAAGAACCAAGATGCATTATGTAAAGGTACAGTTCTCAGTGAGAAATGTAATTGTGTTGTATACCTACAATGTACCAATAAAAGAATTTAATAAAAAAAAAAAAAACCAAAATGAAACAAATAATAATAAAAAAAAAAATTTTTTTTCTTTAAATGGGGTAGGGAGTGGAACTGGGTATATAGTTTAGTGTGAAGGCCCTTGTTCAATCCCCAGTACAACCAAAAAAGAAAAAAAGAACTCAAATATATACTTACTGGCTACATTACCAACTGTTATAAGTTATATTCTACAATTTACCTTATCAAAATAATGAACTTCGTAGCGGGGGGTAGAATTAAAACCAGGGCCTCCTGCATGCTAGGCAAGCACTCTACCACTGAGGTGTATTCCTAGCCCCATTTTTACTTTTTTGTGTGTGTGCCAGGGATCCAATTCAGGACCTTGCACTTGCAAGTCAGGCACTGCACCACTGAGCTCTATCCCCAGCCCCCCACTTTTAGTTTTTACTGTTGGTTAAGAGGGAGATTTATAGCAAATTTGACTACAGAATTACAGCTATATTGCAAGTGGCCAGCAAGGAAAAAGTTCTCTGTTTCTGAGTTAGGCTTTCAAAACAGTGTTTGATTTGGAGGCAGACTCCGCATTGTTATCAGACACATGCCCCACACAGTCAAGTGATTGTACACTAAATGTTTCTGTGAGTATATCACCATACAAATACATTGGACACTTGCTCTAAGTAGTGAGTTCTAAACCCATGAAACACCACAAGTCTATGGTCTATTGACTACATCATGAATAGTGGGATTTAACTTGTAATTTCAGGCTAATTTATAGGCATCAATGCCAAAACTACCTTGTAGCATTGCTGTCTTGATGATATTGATAGGAGCTTCGGAAGTATAAGGAAAATGAAAAGGACACTGAAGTGTTAATGTCAGCCCTCTCCGCCATGCAAGACAAGACACAGCACCTGGAGAACAGCCTGAGCGCAGAGACGAGAATCAAGCTGGACCTGTTCTCTGCACTGGGTGACGCAAAGCGACAGCTCGAGATTGCCCAGGGTAGGGGAACAGCGGGAATGGGGGAGGGGAGGTGACGGGTAGCAGGGACTAAGAATGCACGGGGTTGAAGAGAGCCCACCTCCCCTTACACCTCCGAACCAGAGTGCATTTCCATTTTCTTCTTCAAGTGGCTTAGTAAGTCCCCACCATTGAAATGAAGGAGTCAGCACATTGATTCATGCTGCAGACGTATTTTGAGACAAAAGTATGTCAAGTGCAAGGCATATAGAGAAGAGTGCATTTCTACCTTCAAGGAGCACAGTGTTGTTGAGGAAGTAGAAAACTGCAGTCATCAAATGGTGCGGGTGTAGCAATGTACATGAAGCCTGTGAGAACACAGAGAAGCAGGGATCAAACCAGTCTGGAGAGTTGAAGAGGGCTGTGTCCCAGAAGAGCTGGGACCTGACCAGTGAGAAGTAGTTGCCCCAGTGAAGAAGCAGCGTGGGAAGGGGATGAGGGCCAAGAAGCCTGGCTTTGCCCAGCTGGAGCAGTTGAGGGTGAGTCTGGAGAGCAGGCCAGCCACTCGGCCGATGTTTATCAAGACCTACTGTATGCTGGGTGCTATGAAAGTCCCTGAGGATTCAGGGATTCAGCCCTGGCGAGGACAAAGGATGAATAAGGCAGTAGGGAATATGTCAGATGGCCATTAAGTGTGATGATGAAAATAAAGCAGTGGTGAGGAGGGGTGTGCGTGTCTGTCTGCTCTTTTCACATGGCAGGCACAGAAGATCCCTTAATAGGGAACATGAGCAGAAACCGAGAGGGAGAGAGTGAGTGAGCCATGTAAGTAAGCTGGAGGAAAGCACTTCCGTGGCAGGGAACAGCAAATGTAAAGCCCTATGGTAGAAGTGGGGAGCGTTACAGGTTCTGAAGGATTGTGGCCTATGGAAAGAACTTGGGACTTTGAATGACATAAGGGGCTGTGGAAAGCTTCTAAATAGAGGCATGGTATGATAATGAAAACAGATCTGAATTTTGTTCCAGAAAGTGATTAACTGTGTAATTGACTGCTATAGAAACTCAGTTGGCCTAGTGCAGTGGTGGCAAACCTATGGCACACATGCCACAGCGAGCTGTTTGTATCATTGAAAGCTCTATTATGTTTTTCTTCTAATGTAGGAGTTGTTTTTTCTAAACTAAAACCTCAATGTTCAGGTTTAATTGCAGTGTTAGCACTTTGCAATAAATAAGTGGGTTTTGGGTTGCAGTTTAGGCACTTGGTCTCTAAAAATTCGCTATTACTGACCTAATGGATAGAAAAGAATATTTCAACAGGGACTTACAGAACAGTCATATACTAGGCTCATGTAGATTTTATCTATCAATATCTACCTACTAGAAACAAATTTAAAGATTTATTTATTAATCCATTTAAAATATATTACATGTTAACATAAATAATATTTTTATGAAAAACAACTATATTTCCAGAGCAAAAATAATCAGAAAAGTGGCATTGTTTTACATTGAGAAAAGATCTCTAATTTCTGTTTTAATGGAAGATATTCTTGGTTCTGTTCTGTTTCTACATTCATTCTGTTGAGATTTCACACTCCACTTAGTTTCTAGATGACCCTACTTAATGCTCATTACAGAATGAGCATGAAAAAGACAGTGGCTTAATATTATTGTGAAAGTAGTTTAGATCCTGTGGAAGCCTGACTGTACTTTGAGAATTGCTGCACAAAGATGAGTTGGGCAAAAAGATCTGCCATTAGGTAAAGGCTAGGGCCTAGAAAGGACAAAGGAGAGGTCAGGGAGAGCTTTGTGAAGGAAGGGACATTAAGTAGGCTTTGAAGGATGAATTCTGAGACCAGAGAATGGCAGGGAAGAAGGCTGTTACATGAGGGAGTAATGTTAGCAAAGGAAATAAGGTACTAAGGTACTGGGAATATCCAGGTGAGCAGTCAAATAACAGCCTCAAGCTTGAGGGTTGGAAGAAAAGAGTGGGAGGTTAGGAGAATGATGAATGAAGCCACACTAGAGAACATATTCTCTACATTTTTCGGAGAAAGGGGATGATATGTTCTGGCCTCATTCTGGAAATCATCAATAGCAGTGTGAAACATGAATTGGAGAAATAAGATTGAAGGCAGAGAGGCCAGTTGGGAAGCCGTTACTGTCTTCTGTCTAAGGGGATAAAGATAGCAAGGGCATGTTCCAGACAGCTGAGTTATGGAGAGTGGAGGTACCTGAGAGAGCAGGAAGAATCAAGTTTCTGGAACCAAGGAAGGAGAACAGAACAGCTTTAGGGTATGAAAAGTAAAAATGAGGGCCGGGGATTTAACTTAGTGGCACCACACCTGCCTCACAAGCACAAGGTCCTGAGTTTGATCCCCGGTACCAAAATAAAAAGAAAAGAAAAGTGAAGATGAGTTTGGTGTTGGATGTTTTGGTTTGTGGTAATCCCCAGATACCCGCCTAAGAGGTTCATCAGTCGGTGGGAACTCAGAGAGACCAAACCCCCTTGGGGTAAAGGGTGAGGTTTAGAAGTTGTAAGAAGTTAGTAAATCCACAGGACTGGCTGGATGACCTAGATGACTGAGCTAGAGGTGTTGAGCATCAGGTACACTTTCTGTGGACTCTGGGAAAGGCATTTAACAAGAAGTTCCTGAGAATCCTGCTTTAAAGCTCAGCTTCAGCCCAATAGTGGGCTTTTTGCCTGCCTGGCTCAGCTCCCTGGGGAGTAGTGATCCCTGTGCTTCATCCCAGCTTACTTGGGTTTGCACGCTTGGAAAATACTCCCCCTGGAGTGAAGCAGCACCTGGTCTCAGGAGCCAAAGGGATTTTGGCTCCCAGCACAAGCCCAGGAGTCCTAGGTGAAAGAAAGGTCTTTTCCAGAGCTCCTGGGACGTTTGGATGTTCCTGATTAAGGAAATCAAACTTAAGTGTGCATGGGAAAAGGTACAGTGGCTCTTATATCAGATGCCCTTAGGTATTTTATTCATCTGAAACTTATTTTGTTCAAAGAGAAGGAGGATGTTTGATGCTTACTTGAGGCTTAGGGGACCTGAAGGGAGAGGGAGCAGTTCCTTTCCCCTGCTCTTCGCTGCTGCTTCCCCATGGCCTCCCTTCTCTTTCCTGCCAGAATATTCTAATAAGAACCGAACTTTGTAATTCAAATCAAACCCCTTGGTGCTTTCCCCCTTCCTTTCTGTATCATTTGATTCATTCTAGTCACAAAATGACTTTCACCTCTGCTACATCCTTTTAAAATATTTGCCACCCAGCCCTCACATTCCAGATAGACTGTCATCTTCATAGGACCCATGAGCAGTCTCAAAATAAGGGCCACTCACATGCAGCCTCTTTTTACTCCTAAATGTTCTTTCCTCTCAGACACAGGGAGCCACATAACATGATAAAAATTGCATGGGGTTTGGAACAAAATGGTCCTGGGCTTAAGACCTGCTCTTCCTCTTTAATGAAATGATTTTGAACAAGACACTTAACTTGTGGAGCCTCTTGTGGACTAGACACTAAAGGGATAACAGTGCGGGGGGGGGGGGGGGGCGGAGACACAGTCTGTGCCTTCATGGAGCTCATGGTCCAGCAAGGAGATGATGGACACAGATCATTACTGAAGGAATATTTGTAAGAGACACAAGAATGCTGTAGGTTAGAGTGCGGATTCTGCAGCCAGACTGCATGGACTCAAACCCTGGCTGTCTCTGCTGCTATATGCCTTGAGCAAACCACGCAACCTCTCAGTTTCTACATCTGTAAAATAGATGATGATAATAATTCCTACCTCTTAAGATTGTAGAGAGAAAAAACTTATTATCTGTAAGCACTTAGAACATTACCTGGCATGTGTGAAGCCTTATGTGTTAGCCATTGTCATTGTTACAAAAAATAAGGGACAGAAAGGAAAGTTCAAGGTGTGTTGAGAATCTATGAGTTGGAATTGCTTTAGATGGGAAGGTCAGGGAAAGCTTTGTTGAGGAAGTAGAAACAACCCTCAGGAGTTAGAAGGGGCTGGGCATGGTGGTGGAGGCCTGTAATCCCAGCACTCAGGAGGCTGAGGGAGGATTGCTGCTACTTGGAGGCCAGCTCGGGCTACATAATGAGTTTAAGACCAGCCTGAGCTACATAGCGAGACTTTGTCTCAAAAAACAAGAGAGAGACAGAGAGAGAGTCAGAGGGGAAAAGAGTACAGGAGAAGCCTGAAAAGGGAAGGGAAGGGACCTGGAGGCAGTGGAGCTGCTTGGGTCACGAAGCTCTTGCACAGTGAGGGAAGAGTGTCCTGGAAGGCCGAGTAGGCTAACGCTGCAGCCAGCCACTGCTAGCTGGGCAGTCAGCAGTGAGGCAGTGTGCCAAGAGGCAGGGTGAGCGATCTGGGTCACTTGAAAATCCTACCAGGGAAGCAATCCCACAGCATCTTCTGTTTTCTGTAAGAGATCCGGTATGACTGATTTTCAGGCTTCAGTTCTATATCTCTTGGTCTGATACTCAGGAATAGGCCATCCTCCCAGGAAGGAATTCCAGCTCAGGAGGTGGAGCACTAGTTCAAAACCAGCACCCTTCTTCAGGCTCCCATAGGTGATCACCACTTTCAAAATATGGCTCCTAGAAAGTGACTTCTTCACTCTAGTCACACCTACATAAGCAGAATCCCTCTTTACCTCTTAAGCCAAGGGGAAACTGGGACTCACGGTGCAGTCTGGCCTGCCACCTATTCTTGTACTGCTGTAGGCTAAGTAAGAGTTGTCTTTATATTTTTTCATGGTGAGGGGGACGGGACTATGATACAGAATACGATCCACAATGCCTAAAATACTGTTTGGCCCTTTACAGGAAATTTGCCTGTCCTTATAAACCACTGACCTTAGAGTGGTTCCTGCTGAATTGAATGAATCTCTTCAGGGGTTGGCTCAAGAGGTCATTGTGTTCTGTGAGCCCTCCCTCTTCACTAATGGCAATCTTTGATCTTCCAGGACAAATCCTTCAAAAAGACCAGGAAATCAAGGACCTAAAACAGAAGATAGCCGAAGTCATGGCCGTCATGCCCAGCATAACGTACAGTGCTGCCACCAGCCCCCTGAGCCCTGTTTCCCCCCACTACTCTTCCAAATTTGTGGAGACCAGCCCCTCTGGACTTGATCCCAATGCCTCTGTCTACCAGCCCCTGAAGAAATGAAGGCCAGCTGTGTATTTGCCCAACCATTTGGTTTACCAAAAGGCCTCACAAAGCAGTGTCTCTGGCAGTCAAGATAAAAAAGTTTATATTGTATTTTGTGGGACTGTATATGTTGTCATTTTTAAAAAGGGGGGAGATAACATCCAAGTCTGATTAGAATTGCCCATCAATTGTTCTTGTAAATTTTTTAGAAGACCTCACAGAACTTTGCAGTTTATTTTTCTCGGCCAACCCATTAAAACCATTCTTGGATTTCAAGTAGCCAATTTTGCCTTTTATGCATTCTTACACAGTTTCCTCTTGAAGGAAAAAAAAAGCAGTTTTTGCTTTTCAGCCTCTTGTTTTCTTCTTAAATAAGCAAGCAAAAACTGTACATTGGATTCATGTGGGATGATAATGAAAACTTTTAGAGTAAAAGGGTAAAATAACAGCTTTGATTTTATAACTGCATTAAAGAAGATGAATATCGATATTACAGAAAGCAAAAATTTATTACTCCTCCAAGGACCAAACAATTCAAGGAACATCATTTAAGCTAAGGAGAGACTTAAGTGACAAGACTAGCTGTAAGAATGTAACAGGGATTGTGTGAAATATTTATATTCCCATCCTTGTGTTTAGTCCTAGAAAATTGCTACCAGCAGTCTTCTTCACAGTGCCTTGGGAAAAGACATTTCAAGAGGAAACTTATACTTTAAACTGTTTTCTCCTTTTCAGTCACCTATCTTTTCTCTTGTTTCGAGCTCAGTGTGGATCCTGCTGTAAAACTGGCGGGTAGATGGGCTGTTCTTAGCACCGTGCCTCTCTTCCATTTCCTTTGATAGAAAACACCTGATGTCCTACGCTTGCCCCCAGGCAGGCAACTTGGGGAGGGAGCTGGGTGGTGTTCATGTCCAAGAGACTGTAACAATGGCTAATAAAAGGTGTGGTCTAGGTTTTCCCCCCTCATTTCATTTAACTATGCTTTCTCCACCTTTCATCATCTTCTGTTTGACAACTTGAAAGGAGTTTGACTCTTCCTCAGCTCTTGTGCCAAGTAGGGTTTTTTTTAAAGACTTTTAAACTCAAAACTGCACAAAGATACTGGTTTCAACTGTGTATTATATGTTAGTAGAAAAGTGTTTGTACAAGCAACTTTTGGAAGTATTTAAAAATCAGGGTAGGGTGGGGGGAGGGCTTGGGAGAGGGGGCAAAGCAAGATTGTGTTTGGAAACTAGGAAAAATTAAATAGATTGCTTTTGCTTCCTTGCCATGGGTTCTGGAAGGACATGGTCCTAAAATTTCCCGTTAATTGGCATGTATGTCTTCATTTAAAGCAAATTAAGTAGGACAAGCAAGTCAGTAAAATAGCAGTATTAAAAAGAATCATCCTTTTAATCACAGGTCTTATTTTGGAATTTTAAAAAAAACTAGCTTTAGCCAGGTGTGCATGTTGCTGCCATTTGCATTTTTGAATCATCCTGTGTAATTGTCACCATGAAAGTGTTACTCAGAATTGTCAGATTTTTTTCATCTTTGTGCAAAAAGATAAAAAATTGTCACTGACTTTGTGTTGAGGTTTCCCCCATTTCGCTGCCTTTGGGACACTATTTTCGTTAAATACTTGGTCTTGGCTGCATTCTTTTTTTTTCCCCTGTGGGGTTCAAAAGAATAAACATTTTCTTACTGATAAAACTAGTTTTCTGCCTTTTTAACTTCAGGAGGGCACAGCAAGGTAGATGGTCCTGAGTGGGGCTGAGATGATCACTGCTTTGTTGTCTCCCCATCAGATAGCAGTGCCCTACACAGCGGGCCCACTGGGCAGGGAGCAGACACAGGGTCTGGGAGATGCCTATCCAGGAACTGCAGTTGGTTTGCTAGCTACTCTTAACTTAAGACATATCTGTTTTCATTCATGTTCTCCCCACTTCCCCCTTCTCTGGCATCTGGTTACAGCCAAAGCTGTCTTATTTTCTGGTATAGCCCTCCTTTCCTAAAACAGCGTTAGGGATGGGACTAGGGGGTCATTGGTAAGATGTTGAGAGCAAGTTTACTTTGCCATGTCATATCCTCTCCCATTTTCCAGAATTTTCTTTGGCTATTTAGTGACCAGTACCCAGTTGGGTTTCCTATCTGCTACAGATCCTGAACTGACCTTCAAGGTAACCCTTCCATCGTAATCCTTTATTTTTAGAAGCTTTGACTGTTTTCATCTTCTGAGAAGCCAGCTGCCTCGCTTGGCCTGTGCTTTCCTCTCTTGGCCATTGTTACAATTGATCTTGGCATGAGTTTTGGAAAATTCTGCCCCTGGCACCTCACCCTCTATCCTTGTTGCTGTATAGCCTTTCTGAGTCTTGGCCATGAAGGCCTTTGCAGACACCCATACTCAGTACCATGAGCAGAATTCCTCAGAGAAATGCCTGGGCTTGGCTTGGCTTGCCTTGCCTTCTGCCTTCGCCTTCCCTGAAGGGCTGTGTCTGTCTGGAGTGTTCTCATTGTCACATTCTTTTCCACCAAGGAAATCTCCAGTTGTCATCTTTGTTATTTTAAGCCCATCATAAAATGGCTCTACATCTTAGCACATTATAATTTATTACATGCCATAAAGCAATGTTTGCCATTCTAGATGATTAAATATTTACAGGAAGAATGGGCTGTGTTTTGACTGGTCAGATAAAACCTCTTTTTATTGACATCTCCCACTTTCCAGAAGGAAATAGCTGTCATATGTTCATCCTCCCTGTGATGATCTGAGCGATCCTATAAAATGAGAACAGTTTGTTGTGGCTCCCAGCCTGAAGGAAAGGAATCGTTCTCTCTCCTACCATCCCATTTCCACATGTTCACCCATCTATAATATTCCAGGCTCTGGAATGCTACTTGGGAGAGCTGAACACTTCTAACTGCTACCATCATATTATTGCTTGAGAAATTCACCAGAGGCTGCTGAAGAAGTAAACCAGAAATCTAACTTGAAGCCATTTCTGTGAAGCCAAACTAGAAAACTGTTTTCAGATGGGCCATAGTAGACAGGCTAGGTTAAAGGGCCTCTGAGACTAAACGCCTGGGTGTATGTGACTGTCAGTGCAGTTTACCCCTGACCCTGTTTCTTCACAGGCCTGGCAGCCCTTGCCAAAGGCACCACTGTCTAAGAGACCTACTCTGCTCTTGTTTATGCAGAGTCTTGTGCCACAGCCAGGCCCTGCTTGTAGACAAGGCAGGGAAACTGCCTCCAGCTTTGCCCTTGCTGTCTCTGACTTCTCAACGTATCGGACCTGTTTCCTGGAGGAGTCTTGTTCCTTATCCTCCCGCTTAGGAGAGATGCCGTGGAGATGGGTGACATGATGCAAAGAGCACTCTGGAAACAACCCAGGGCCAACTCCCAGGTGGAAGTTTAGAACAGCATCAGGGAGTCATGATGAGGACAGGGCTCTGGCTAAGAAGTCCTGCTCCTGGAGCTTAGCTCTGTCCCTCACAGCCCAACTCCTAATCCCATCTCCTCAGAAGCATGGTCGGCAACTTCAGACCAGCACCACTATCCCATTAGAACCAGAATCTCAGTCTTCCCCAGAATCCCCTCACCCTCATCTGAATCTGCAATTTAACATCTCCAGGTGATTTGGTTGCATATAGTTTTAGAAGCCCCATCTGAGCTGACATCCCTCACCTGAAGACTATGGTGTCACCTTCTTCTAGTCAAGAAAAAGTCAGTACTTGGGCTTTAACCTTTTAAGAGCTTGATGAAGGGGAGGCATGCAGATGAAAATCTCTGACATCTTATACTTAATATTTCCTCACCATTAGAATATAAGCTCTATGAGAGTCAAGATTTTTGTTTATTTGCTGCTATAACTCTAAAATATTTACTGCTACACCGTAGGTGCTCAATAAATAATTATTTGTATCTTTTTTTTTTTTTTGGTACCAGGCATCGAACTCTGGACCTTGTGCTTGCAAGGCAGGTGAACCACTGAGCTAAATCCCCAGCCCCCTCAATAACTAATTATTGAATGAATAAGGTCAATTAATAGATGAGGCATCTTAACTGCATTGGAGCATTTCTGTAATAGTACTGCTAGAGAGACAAGTCTAAACAATAGTTTCTGGAAAGAGGAAGGATTTGAAGTAGCATATTTACTACGACATCTCCCACCTGCCAGACTTTCTCTACAAACTCCTGGTTGATTTAGCTAGGTGTGAAGATCTCCTAAGCAGCTGGATGCCCTGTGAATAGCCCATCTTCTGTCTGGGAGCTCTTGCCGCAGGGGACCTGCTGGGGGCCTGTCCATTCTTCAGCCCACTAGAGCCTTAGACCTGACTTCCCCAGAGCTGGCCCCACACATCGAGAGTGAGTGCGGGGATCTTACCTGGACAGTAATCAGATTGTCAGACCTCTCCTTCAGGAAGGTATCTGGCTGGATGGCTGTCTCAGGATCTCCTTTTGTCTGACCGAGGGGCCCACACTTCCTTTCTCTCTGCTCTCCTTCCTTGGGCTCAATTTGAGGGTTTCTGCTTTCCAATTTCAACATTTGCCTTACTTCCTCTGCCTTTCCCTGAGGTTCAGGTCTTAACATCCCTTTGGGGTGGATTTTCCGGGTGCTGGATCACCCTGCTGTGATGGACACCTCTGATTCCTCTCCTTATTCCCAGGCTTAGCTACACATGACAGCACCTTTTAAACCCTGACCAAGAAATCTGGGCCAGTTTAGTTGGGAAGCTGCTCTCTTCTGTTCTACTCTTTTCCAGGGCCACAACCTCTAGACACTTCAAAGTGACAGGGAGGTGGAGCTAAGTGTGGCAGTGACCCTTACCAGGCCTTCCTTGGCCTGGTACCAGCAACCCCTGCATCCCCATTCTTTGAGTTCCCTCTCCTGATTGTGGCTGTGGGTCTTGATCAAGAACGTGGTTTTGCTCTCAGAGGCCTATGCTTTTGATACTATGCTTTTGGTTCCAGTGTGCTACCAGGCCCATGCTGATTTAGAACCATGGTTCTCAAATCTTAGGTTTCATCAGAACAGCCAGAAATAGCCTGTTACAACACAAAGCACTGAGCCCAGCCCTGAGTGTCCGGTGCACAAAGTGTGGGGAAGGCTGCGATTGTAACAAGTTCCCAAGTGAGGCTGGATCCTGGGCCCCAATTTGGAGAACCACTTGAAGCCATCCCACCAGCTGCCACCAGAGGGCACATGCGACCTCCTCCAGAGGGCCTGTTTCACTTCCAGCCACCAGCTACCTGTTCTCTGGACTACAGAGGCTCTTCCCTAAAGACTTCTAATTGGAGT